TTCAACTTCTGTTAACTTCTGTGTGCAGTCTCTTGGTGCTGATGTTGTTGTTTTCACGAGTTACCTATCTCTATACAATACGCCGAATCATGATGGAACATAAAATAAGCACGGCCGTCTGCAAGAGTCTACCCTTTCTGATGTATACTTTCTACTATGCTAGTTTGTGGTAGATGACAATCGTCACAGTGGAAAGAGCATTAGCTGCAGTGCAATATTCTCAATGGTCTTCGTTGCAAAAGCCAATGACGACCATATTGCTGATCTTTCTGATTTCACTTGCTGTTTTGAGTTCGAATTACATATTCATCAATCAATACAAGTTAGTCAATCACCCAGATTATTCATTTCCATGGTGTATTCGTGAAATTCCACAGAGTCAACAATTACTCACACAAGTTCTCCCGCTGATTCATCAGGTGATTCCTTTTATGATCAACATGGTAGCAGCACTGATAATCATCGTTGCAATCACTCGATCGAAAGTTCATGCTCATCAGAAGGCCATACTTGGTGCTCTGATGGATCAAACACGAAAATGAATCTACCTGTTGTTAGGTCCTATCGCTTGTTTCTTGGCACAGTTACCTGAAATATTGATCCTTTTTCTGAATGTTTGTGGCAACGACACGAGTGACTGGTTTTCGCAGATTGTTCTAGTGACTTACTACATATCATTCGCACCACACATAAGTATTTTCTTTCTGTATGTTTTACCCTCGAAGCAGTATCATGATATTTTTCTGAAAGGTACATCGTTGGGTCAACATCTATCGAACATGATTCAGTCGACGACTGATCTTCTGAAACGGGAATTGTGAAGAAGTGAAAGTCCCCTCATTTTTTCAATAAAAGCATCTCATCGGGCACAGTTTGAATAATTGCATACCAAGCAGTATTCATGAATGAGTGATAGTGAAAAGCATCAGCCAAGCTCACGTTCGTGGTGAAGGTGAGGATGTGAGTCTAGCAAACTCGTCCTAATCAAAAGTTACGAAGTACCGATGTCGCCTAAAATGTCGATTTTTTTTGCAATATTTCATGAGCGGAAAATTTCAAGTCAATTGGTCGAACCCTTTTCAAGATATAACCAAATTCGAACCCTTCTTGAAGAAAATGGTTACTTTAAGGACTTTTCATAAAATGTTCATAGAAGAACCGAGGGTTCAATATTTTGTAACAGATCAGATTCTATTATGATAACTAATCGATTTGAACAGATTCATCAGATCGGAACTAAAGCCGAAGTGTTCGGGTCCTAGTGTCCCCTCACGAATTGTCAAGATCGCATTCTCAATCTGGTTGCAAAGATGCTGAATTTTATCCCACAGTAGCTGTGATGACGTACTGATATTTGGGCTATCGTTTGTGCATTCTCTTTGGAGCATGATCACTAACAAAGATCTATTAATCAATAAGCAAAACTGCCATACGAGAAATTCCTTTTATCAATTTGGTCATTTTGCCGAGTCCAGTTCGAATCTGCTTATTCAAACATTTCAATCGAAGATAGATCTCTTTTATCCAGAACGTTGGTCGCATTGAACTTGACTCCATGGATCAATACATCGAAAAAGTCACTTGATATGGTCTATAGTTATGATCGAAACGCCTCCTGGTCACTACAAACTCAACACTCGTCATTGAAGAAAAAAAGAAAAAGAAAACAACGCGATCTATATAATGACTAGAGCAAAAAACTGTAAAATAAATAATAGTTATATTTATTAAGCTTTGAAATTTGAACTGGTTCGTCAATTGAGTCAATAATTGGTGTGATGATGAATGCCGTATTTTCGTCTCAGTTGATGTAACAATGTGTGATTAAATGGGCACCTTATATTGCGACCATGATCGATGAAACCTCCAATCTGCCATTGCCTATATTCATGAACGATATCTTCAACCCATGCGTCGATGCATTCGAACGGACGATTGTCCAATCGCATTGTCACGAGATTACAAAAGTCTTTGTCCTTTTGACACATCTCTGTAAACAGTTGTCCATTTGGAGCCAGATTATCTCGAGGATTTACTGGCATAGCAAATCCATTGATAATCATTTGTGCTGCCGTCCTAATGAGTTTGACTACTTCATCCTTTTTGATACCCTTCGGACGTTCATTAATTAGATAGTAAAGACCCTTGATATATGGTGTACCAGATGTCATGTACTGATCGAGAAAAGATGTGTACAGTTTCTCCGGATTGACTTCTGTTAAAGGTCTAATTCCTCCAAGATTAATGGTTACAGATCCATCAGACAAAAATCCTTGATAGAACCGTCCTGTCCCAGGTCCAGTGACATGAATATTCATCTATTGCACTATCCGTAACTGAGCCATAAAATTATTTTCAGTCAATTCGTATGCAGGTGGTCTCGAGTCTATCTGAGTAGCGTTGAACTGAACAGAACGATTATGTTGAGCTTTAACACGATCATAACAAAGATAAGAAACACGAATCAAGGACCACTGTAGCTTGTTAATGTTATTTTTAGTTGTATTGAGATATATATTTGTATAATCGTTTATCTCTGTAATTGCTGCGTTGATCTCGGTTCTATCATCGATGGTAAATTGTTTATCATCGATGACGTATGCATTGAGTGGGTATTGAGGATTACGATCTTCAGATGAGTTGCTCTGTCGAACAAAAGGAGGCAAAAGGGTGTGGGTGGTGGGTTTGGATTTCGGATGTACTGAGAAGATCCACATTCTAAGAGAAAAGATGTATGAATAAAGGGCACGTGGCAAGCAGATGTTCATTTGCTTATTTGCATTTCGTCTTGAACTAGACAATCCTGATGATTCTTCTGAAGAGTCGTTAGTCGAAAAAGATTAAAAATAGAACACTTCTTGCGAACACCTTTCATTGGCAACGCCTATATCTGTACAATAGCACTGATATCTTTTATCATAAGATCAAGCTAAATTTCATCGTTGTTGACAAGATAATTGATAGTACTTAAGCCTATTTTCAACAAAAGATATTTCAAAAGAATGAATTAATGATTGCGTCTATTCAAAATATTCGTATTCATTATTCGTCTCTCAAAAGAAAATGACTATAACAGTAACAATATACCAAGATATTGTATCATGATATGAACTTCTATTGTAGAAGAGAATTCAAAACATTCTGTTGTTATTGTGATTTCTTACATTCAAGTTATCTTAACAAGTCGGAAATAAAGATGATGACCTTTTTCCATTGGCACACTCCTGATTGTTTTTGAAGTCGAGGAATTGTCCAAATGAATGATAATTGATACGTTATTGAAGTTTTTAATCTTTATCGAGATAAAGATTTACTTATAATGGAATGTAAAATGAGAAAAAAATTCGATCTTATTTAAGATAGTTTCTCTGATTTGACGCTGTCTCTCATTTATTTTCATTCTATCTTTCACCTGTCACTTGTTTCTACTGCTGATTTATTATTTCAGACAGTAGATTTATCCTGTTTAACTTTTCTTGTAGACTTAGATATCGTCTGATTACAAACGTCAACACCAACGTGTGTTCAAATTAATTTATTATCGTTTTATCTTCGTCGACATTTTCCGACTGTCATTTTTCATTTAATCGAGCATTCAGCACCAATAATACTTGAAAAATATGTCTCGAAAGAAATCGAGCCCATGGACTTCTCCTCTGCGTTGTTTTTATAAGTGTCTCTGCCTTATCTTTTCAACCTATGTAGATTATTGTTATTTTTATATACAGTCACTTCTATCTCCTAGTAATTCTTTTGTCTTATTATAATCAACTTAACTATAAGGATATACAAGGAATCAAGAATTACACGTATCAAGAGTCGAGCAGATATTAGCGCAAAAATGAAATATGAAGATAGCGTAGCGTCTCTCTCTCTCTCTCTTTCTCTCTGTTTTTGTTGACATATACTACTCATCAAGTAATGGTAGGTGGATGAAAAACATGCCGTTACAATCATATAAATAGCTATCGTCACCATTTTTTTTTCTCCATAAATACGACAACAAACCAAAAGGAAGATAATCGATTCATTAACAATGAAAAATATTCTGTCTGCACTAGTTGTTGTGTTTTTCATAATCGTTGTGCAATGTTTAGAGCAGACTGAAACACATATTAAACGAGCAACAGTATCGAAGAGTGAAACTTATGATCGATGCCGAAAACTGAAAAATGGAAAATATTCATGTCGTTGTGGCAAGAAGAAAGTGACCTACGATCGACTCCGACAAAAATGCATCAATGGAAAAGTCGTTGAAAAGTAAGTGTTTTCGAGTGAGCAGATGTTTCTCTTACATTTGGACCGTGACACATTATTGACGATATAATACACATACAGTTTTAGACAAACCATGATTTTTCTATTTGCTCCTACATAACACAATCTAGCTGATCTGTAGCGTGTGCTGCCAAGATAAACGTTTCTGTACTTGTACGATTGAATTACTTCGTACATTTTTGCAAATTCATTCCCATTACAGCAATGACGAGTAACAGATCATCAAATTCTAAATAAAATTCGATAGGTGTAGTACAACATGGCTTTAGTTACGCTCTCATTCACACGTTTGTTTTTTTTTTCGACAAACATTTACTCCTTTCTCTGTTCTCATTTTCATTCCTTCCGAAAATTGCAGTTTTAGGAAGACACACTAGAACATTCTTTTTCTGCAAGTTTAGTGTTGCACCAGTAATTCCTTGAGGATATTCGACAAACATGGAAAACTATTGTTTATGTTAACTAAAAAATATTTTCGAAAAAAATTCAGTTTTCTTCCTATCCAATCATACATGACATATATTTTCAAATTGTGAAACGAGCAAGAATGAAGATTATCTTGAAGCGGCTATAAAAAAGGATTATTGTAGTTTTTGGATGACTTTCCTATCAGCAGCTTTGAATATTGATGATGATCTGGGATCAAAGAACTTTTATTATCTCTGGGATATAAACAAATGAGCTATTTGGATATTTGTTGTTTTTTTCTTAGCAATACAAATATGGGCACTGGTCTTCGATCACCGATTATACCGATTCATCGTTCTACACGTGACGACTACCAATATGCTGAAGCATGCATGGGACTTCAAACAACGAATAATTCAGCGGTGGTACCACTTCGTCATGTGTCTGCAGAAGCATGGATTCATTCATATGCAGCCGATGTTACTTTAACTCAAATATATATTAATCAGGAAAGAGATCCGATTGAAGCAATCTACGTATTTCCTATCGAGGTATGGCTTAAAGTGATTTGAATTGTGGAATTTTTTTTCACTAGGCAAATTGATTTGTTTCGATAGGACTAAAATGTTACATTGATTATTTCTAATCGTATATGACAGGTATATTGCAAAACAGGTCTTTGTCAGTGATATTGTCTTTAATAAGACCCCATTGCATAAGTTTATATAGATGTAATGGAAATTCTTGTTATCTGAACCTAATGAAATTATCATTTTGATATCAAGCGTAACGGATGATATACAACATTGAACTGAATGTTCTCATGTGATTTATTTTTGAATCATAGACGTTATCGAAAGAAATAATACTCATACGAGAAAACTCGAATGAATATTAAATAGAACTAGAATTAACTGAACCCTTGAAATTAATTCTATTAATATGGTATTTTGATTTTTGTTTTTGAAAATTTTCCAGCAAACAAGTATAATACATTCCTGAATTATTGCTAAATCTATTTATTATTCGAATTCATTTGGAATGTTTCTTTGCAGGAAAATGCGGCTATTTATGCATTTACAGCTAAAATTGATGATCGACTTATTACGGCCGAGGTGAAAGAAAAAAGAGCAGCCGAAACTGAGTATGTACGTGCAATTCAACAGGGTCAAACGGCAGTGTTACTGCGACAAAGTGAACGAACATTTGACACCTTCAGAGTGAGTCATTTAGAAGACTGGCAAGATAATCATTGAAAAATTGCATGATACGAAATAGTGACCGTGTCTTGGACTCTTTGCTATCAATGCCGAATTCATAAATTTATTTAATTTTTCAGATCAATGTCGGAGCTCTGCCGCCGGGTAAAGAATGTGTAGTAAAGATTCGGTATGTGACCGAATTGGATTTGATCGATGGATGTTCGATTCGATTTGTTGTTCCTACGACTATTGCGCCTCGATACGATCCAATGTTAGGTTATCCGCAATCGCCTGATGGAACGCAAGCTAAATATGTTCAAAACTCTCCGTATTCCATGTCATTTCGAGCACATGTCGATCGAGGCGAAAATTGTAAGTGAAAACCTTTCGGAAATGATATTCTTCAGCTGACGTTGTGCTTTCAACCAATATCCAAAGTTCAATGTTAGAGCGGAACAAAATCGTATTCATTCATTTAGAAAAAAAAAGTTTCCTTTTCGTGGCTATCTATCAAAAAATATTTTTTGATAATGATACAGTTGTTGAATCTTTTTTTTACACGAATTTACTCCTAGGTCAAATTGTCCAAGTGGCTAATATGTCTCATCCGATTAATGTAAGCTTATCACATCAAACGATCGATGTCTCTTCAGAAGGCATTGCACTCGATCGTGATATTATCCTAGATATTGATTTGCCTCAAAGTCCATGTCCAGTACTTGTTGCTGCAGAACAATATGATAGTGATTCCAAACTTGCTATTCTTACTGCACTGAGTCCTGGTCAATCAAATTTTATCTCATTATTCGATACACAAAATCCAGTTATAACAACAACTGAATTTATCTTCATCGGTATGCTCTTTTTCAAGTATTTTTTTAAAATTTCGTAGAGAAAATGGCCTAGCGGTATAATTGATGAATTTATTCTCTTACTTTTTGATAGTTGACTGTTCTGGTTCAATGTACGATGAAAATCGCATTGGTCTTGCTCAAGATGCAATGATGTTATTCGTGCGCAGTCTTCCTATGGGTGCTCATTTCAATATAATTCGTTTCGGATCAGACTTTCGAGTTCTTTTCACTGATGTACTTATGACTACTGTGTACGACGAACGAACGGCCAAGGAAGCTGAAGATCTAGCACGTTTGATGCGAGCAGACTTGGGCGGTACAGAATTACTGAGACCATTACAATACTTGAAAGATCGGCCACCAGTTAGTGGTCGATCACGACAAGTGTTCATCTTGACCGATGGTGAAATTGCAAATACAAATGAGGTAAATAACACTGGAAGGAAATACTGGCCTACTCGTATCATATGAATATCAGAAGGAAAATTTGCAATTTTTTTTTCTCATTTTCATTTAAAACCTTTCGGCAGCGTTGTATTTACGAAAGGCAATATCAAATGATGATTTCAGTGACCTGATAAGTATCGAATATTCTCTTATGTTGATAGGTGATTGAACTGTGTCGTTTAATGTCATCAACTACACGCATTTTTTCATTTGGTCTTGGCCATTCACCTTCTCGTTCTCTAGTCAAAGGCCTTGCTCGTGCCACAAATGGTCATTTTATTTTTATTCCTCCTTATTCCAGAGTCGACTCGTACATAGGTATTCAACTTAGTAGAGCCCTTCAACCGTCATTTGTGAATAGTCAATTGCAATGGTCTGGCTTGTGGCCAAGTGGTTCCCAAGCACCAAGAACTATTCCTCCAGTTTATCAAAATGATCGTGTACTTGTCTATACTCTATTCGATACTTTCCAATTCACTGGACAATCTGCACTGGTGGACTATACAACTGAAAATGGTCGAATTGGTAGGGGATCATTAAATCGTAATGATGTACATAAAGGAGATATGATTCGTCGATTGGCAGCTAAAGCATTAATACAAGAATTGCAGCATAGGGGAAGCGTGGATCACGTTTAGTAAGTTGAATTCTTGTTCTAGTCTGAAAAATAACGTGTGAGTATATTTTTCTTTTTATTTCTCTAGTGATGGTATGACAGTCAAACAGCGTATTATCGCACTTTCGTTGACTCATCAAATATTGTCACCATATACGGCCTTCGTTGGTGTTGAAACAACACGTTCGAAAACAAGTAGCACTGTGCAAGTTCGACCTGTGCCCATTCAAACATCTAAAGATGACGAACATCTTCCATCTCAGAATGGATTTTCTTCTACTCAGTCACCACAATTTATTCCACAAGGAGCAGGTTGGCTGCCGCCGGTTGCTGCTCTGCCAACCCATGTTCCTCCGCCAAGCCAAGCTTTTGCCTACCCAGACATGCTTCCACCAGTGCTGATGTCGCAAGGCACAGGAGCAAAAGGAGAGTCAGGGATGGCACAAAAAGGGGAGCTAGGAATGGCACACAAAGGAGAGCGATGGGGGTTTCAATATGCGCCGCAAGAGATGGGACAAAAAGGAGATCGAGGGATGGGACAAAAAGGAGATCGAGGGATGGGACAAAAAGGAGATCGATGGATGGGACAACAAGGAGATCGAGGGATGGGACAAAAAGGAGATTACGGGATGGTACAATATGGGGATTTTCAAGATGTTACTGAAGCATATGCGGTTATGAGACGACCAGATGCCATTAAGCCGGTACTAAAGTCCACAACACAGCCAAGCTCTCCTTCCACCACTACAAGTTTTGATTCGACAACCGATGAAAATAAACCGTAAGTGTCCATTTTGTTGTTATTATAATGGATTCTGACAATGTCGGAAAGCTTATTTAAGCTGCAAGGCATTCAATAGAGATTTGGTCTAGGTCAATTTGAGTCGAAGTACCCATTTTAAAAATAGGTTCAATACATATTTCTGAAATTGTATCAGAATAATACGAAGTTTGACAAAAGAAGATAAGTATGATAAAGTCGTGGAATATCGAGCGCCTCTTTCGTACTAAATTCTTATAGTATTTTTTCTTGATTTTTGAATGTCATGAACAACACTATCTCTTCTCAAATAGGCGTAGGTCTGAAAGGATGCATTGCACATTGTCAAGAAATCGATTTTGTTGTTCAGTTCTAGATCGCCAGTTGCCGATCCCAGAAAACCCTCTGCTAACACTGATTCTGTTCGCTGGTTGATCGATCAGCAATCATTCAACGGTGCATGGATTTTAACCGATGATCAAGTACAACAATTGACGGGAGGCAAATCATGGACCTATTTCAAATCAAAAGCCAATCAAGATAAAGATGTTATTACAACAGCACTAGCTATCGCTCTGCTAGAATCGCAACATGTCAAACAAAAGAATCTCTGGTTTATGGTTGCTGATAAGGGTCGTCGACGACTGTTGGACTTTGGACTCAACAAGAACGAAATCGATTTACTCATCAACGAAATCAGAAGCAAACTTTAATAATTATACATTACAATCAGTGATCATCGATGATCTTTAGATGGTCTAAGTCTTCCTGTAAAACTGCATCAAAATTCGAAGAAACCACTCAAAACTGTTATCTAACCTAACCTTTGACTATCATTTATCATGAATTAGCTAGTTAAGATTTTTCCTAAAAAACCAATAAAACATATGTTTGATGCAGAACAAGAGTTTTTCAGTGAGAAAATGGTTTTAATCACCGTAATCATGATTAACAAAATCATTTTTCATACATTCACAATGATCAACATATAAATCAACGCAAAACAATTCGTGTATGTCATCTGGATTTGCTCTTTCACATCAATAAACGAAAACAACATATTCGATCAATGTAGTAAAGAAAAGTTTATGTTTATTCAGCGATAGAGCACACTGAACAAAGTATAAACATGTCAAGCAGTAGGAGGACGATTACTATCAATAGAAACAAAACCAAGTTTCCATCACTTCTTCGTTTGGTTTTTTCTTAATAATCAATTCATTGCATTCAATTGGCTGCTCCAAACGCTATACATCTTAATTTCAGCACGAATAGTAACACATTTTGTAAATATAAAAATTTAATTGTTTCTACTAAAGCTGATTAAATAAATATTTGAGCGACTACAATTGATCCATGCCGATCTCATTAAGAGACCGCCCTACAGTTCACGGAAGAAATGTTTCGTCATCCTTTCAAACGATTGAGAGAGTCACTCGGATTTTTAGAATAATAGATTACAAGCAGAAGGCTTACATATAGGGTGTGGCTGTGAGTGTGTAGATGTCGGGGTAAGTATTGATTCCACGAGTCCCACACTCGCATCTACATCCTCGCCACTAGTTTTGGATTGCCCTAAGTAACATTTGATTTTGATCAGATGCAATTTTCACATATTATGTATATTTTTATTGAAAATTAGCAATTAAAAACAATTTCTTTAGAACTTTATATTTGATTGTGTACTACCTCGAAATTCATTTTATACTTAAACGTAGTTAAAACAAATATCTATATCTATATGACACTCATTAGCTGATATAGCTCAAATGTAAGTAACTCGCTCTCTGTATACAAGTTCTTCTGTTCAAACCTCAATCATCGCACATGTCGTACTTCTCGTCCAAATCAATTCTCTTGTTCTGTAATATACGCCTGGAAAAGAGTTGATCATCACGTGGTTCTGATGGTACCGCAGTGCAAAATTTGCGAGAACAATATGCTTTTGTCCAAAAAAACTCTTCAAACGTGTTTTGATATGAACAATTTTTCCATGGGCGATTAATGTCGACGATCTTGTTAATTACATACACTTTTTAAAACTGTATTGTATTTTCAATGATATCCATTACACTAACAATATCACTATATAGAAAACAATATTCATTATTGTAACGATGCAAATTGTAAAAAAAAAGTTTAGTTTTTCTGTGAATCAATATGATTTTGATACTTAAGAACTAATTTTCAAGACTTTGATTTAGTTTGTAAGAGAGAAAAATTATTAGTATATAAAAAATAATTTTAATATCGAATTACCTCGTAGTAAATAACAAATTCATCGAATCATGAGGTTATCATTATCTGAATTTGTTTATTTGTGTCTGTTTTTCTTTTTCTAGTATTAAAAAGGAAAGTCAAGATTTTTATTTTAAAGTCGTCTTCATTACTTCTGTATCAATAAAGATTTGATAATCATTAAAATCCAAATACTAAAAGGTAGTTAACTTCATCATGTCAAACTTATTTTCTATTTTATCTTTATTTTGTTGAAGAACATCAGGAAATGATTGATTATCTGTCATTCACAAAAAAGAAAAATTCAAATAATATGGTAAATTGATATGAAGCAATGGAACTAGATTCACTTCATATAGTAGTGATGAATCGAAAATTGTAAGTACATGTTATACTATATTACTATAAATGATGATTTTCTTTTTTTCTTTTCCTCTATTATTACGTTCGAGCATTTTTCTATTCGTTTAAAGACTTTCAAATAATGATCTTCGATTATAAATTTTATTTAAATATTTGAGCAATATTGTAGCGACCAAGCTATAAAAAAGGTCTTTCGGCGATTTTAGTACGGCTAGATAATTCGATTTTGAAGATGATCAGTTAACCTCAATTGAATTCAATTCATGAATTAAATGAGTGAATATGGAAAGTTCTTTTTCTATTTGATGGATTGAGTCGAATTGATGTCATAACATTTTTCAGAGTCCTATGATTCAAATAAAATTGTGCTAAGCGTTTTTTATTCTTTAGACAAAAAAGAAGCGTTTGAATTATTTTAATAGGCAAAATAAGAAAAAAGAATACGGTAAAACATGCTTCAATAGCATATCGACAACAAAGTAGGATAGCTTGCTTTAATTATGGAAAAAAAATATTAGAACATACGGTTTCTACAGCCGATTTTGATGCCAGAGCAAAATAATATAGTATGAATGAATTGATGAATAGAATTATACTGGACGTTAATCATGTTAACATGATTAAGGGTTAAAGTCTGATTCGGAAATTTCATAACTATGATTGACATGTTCTTTCATTTTCAACTAATATTGATATGATGGATATTTTTTATACTATGAGCGCTGGTAGATAATCAGTTTACAATTTATGAAAAATCCTGTAAGTTTTATATTCACACATTGTGTAATTTTGAAGTTATATTATAGACAACATATAGCCCATAATAGTCATTGTAACTTATCTAGTTTCTTGAAAACTAGATGTACCATTTTAGATTCGAATTTTTGAAATTTGTATTTCTTTTTTCATAATAGTATATGTATGAATGAACTATACAAATTATATTAAGTGTGTTTTGATACCTGAAGGACAGTGAGAAGAAAAAAATATAATCAATATGCTATGTAATATTTATTGTATTCTTTGTAAATATAATGACATCCTTATTCTTCTCTTAACGTTATGGGTTCTTTTACCTATTGATTATTTAACTACCTTTTAATGGCCAATATGTTAGCTAATGGAACTCTATGGATTTAAATACCAAATTTACGAGTTCATTTGTTGACTCATCCAGAGTAGGTATGCTTTACTTTAGATAAAAAATATAATTAAACAGTATTGAAAAATAAGAAAAAGGTTTCATTTTCAAATCTATCAAAAAGACTTGTATAAAACAAGTCAACAAGCAGATTACCTATCTGGAATCTGCCGAGCATGATGACTTATATTGAAATAAGACGAATGCGTCAGCTTCAGCAGAAAATGTAGCTCTTATTTCATTTTCCTACGTTTTCGAATAAAGATCGATATGTTCAATTATGAATGAAGTAACAAGACTAGCAACTCTAACGAAAGTTATGCTGTAAGGATAGAACAGCTATCATTTTTCATTATATTATATATATTAAAAGGAAAAAAAATATTTTGTTTACCAACATATTTTTAATTTGAGAACCGATCCGGTTACACTACATCGAATTACGATAAAAAGTTCAAGAAAAACAGATCAATAAATAATCCACTCAGTTCATCACAGAAGACATCTCATGACTATTCAGTTATTTGCCACGATGCACTAAAAGTTTCTTTTTCTCTAATCCATGACTACTACTCATTGTCTTCAGTTTCCGTCATCAAGTTCATTGTTTTACATATTCATATGCGTTCTATTTGTAAGAATAAAATTATTTCAAACGTGAAATATCATCATAAAGTGATCAGTTATTCAAAGTAAAATTTCTCTCTGTCAAAGTTCATCATAGACAGCTCAATGATAAACTAGTACATGATCTAATTAATCTTGTTTTTGGTTGTATTTTTAATTTATTTTTGCATTTGCTGTTTCTAAATTGATTGTGGTTTTCATAAGGATACGTTATATGAATAAATTATCAAAGAATATTCGTGTTAACAGTTCTGAAAACAAATAATAGTATCTGATAAATAAGATGTAAATGTGTATACAACTGTTTTCAAAATTAACCGTAATAGTTTAATTTAGTCAACTAGTTTAAATGATTTATAGAGTTGAAGTTTCAGAATGAGGTGTTGATCACGTTTATAATCCGATAATATAAGAAAAACATACTTCTTCTGTAGTCATTTTTCTAGTATGTTTTCAAAAATCATTAGATATACTACTAAAATTAAATTTCATATTCTTCAAATGAAACGAACTGATTTATAAATTTATCAGAGAATTCTATCAAACATTCTCGCTTCACAGTCCGATATATCTAACTTAACTGAGTTTTGAAAAAGATCCAAGAGGCTTCTGACAATATTTTTATTACTCATCTCTCAAAATACATCTCATTCTGATTAATCGTCCTTGTTGGTTACATAAATCACAATACGAAGAAGCGAAAATCTTTTTTTTTACAATGAAACTCAAAAAGCTTAGACTCAACATATTCAATTTGAGATTCATACTAGAAAAAGATCTTAATATGATCCTTTTGTAGAAAATCTTTCAAGTGATTTTAATCACAAAATTGTACTCAAACAATTGATTACAGGACTGAATATCCAACAGAGATTCATAGAAAAGTTGCTATGTAATAGCGTTTGAATTAATTTCGCTTGTTAATAAAAGAATTCATCACATAGCAATTAGTATGTTTGACTTTCGCTTTACCACACGTGTATCAAGCTCGAACGGCTTGAAAATTGGATCAGGTCACTAATTTGTAGAAGGAAGATGCTTCTCATCAGATTAAAAAGGACGAAACGAGTGATTATGTAATTTTTTTATTAAGGCATCTGTTGTTTTTGTTTTATGTTAAAAATCTAAAGGAAATCATTAATAAATTTGTTGTCTAATGAATAACTTTATCAATTGGCTGATTGAAAATAATTAATTATGTATCTTTGTGTTAAAGGAAAATAGCAATTATTCACCATTGTAAAAATGCGCATTGACTATCTTTCTATTAGGGTGTTGGTGTGGGTGTAGTTGTGAGACGTTTCTTCTTTAAGAGCCACGTCCACATCTGCATCTATTCTCTTT